AAAAAAAAAAAAAGAATGGCTGTCGTCAAGAAATCAGCCAATAACAGCTGCTGGCGGGGCTATGGGGAAGAAGGAACCCTTCTGCACTGTTGGTGGGCGTACACACTGGTACAGCCACTATGGAAATCAGTGTGGAGACGCTTCAGAAACGGATTAGAGGTCCCATGCAACCCAGCTACTCCCCTTCTGCATATCTTCACAGAAGAATTAAAAACATCCCAGTGATACATGTTTACCAGATTTATAGCAGCACAAGTTGTAATAGCTAAGTCCTGGAAACAACTCAGATGCCCATCAACTGAGGATTGTAAAAAGAAGTGGGGCTGGGGAGATGGCTCAGTGGAATGGGCTCTTCCCTGGCAAGCGCAAGGGCCTGAGTTCAATCCCTGGTTCCAAAAAAAAATACATAAATAAAAAGATGTGGCATTTTTATTCAGTGGAATGTTCCTCTGCCATGAAGAAGTATAAACAAGACTTACAGTAAAATAGCTTTTTCGCAACGGGTTTGCCGCGAGAGCACAGGCATAGTGAAGGCCACCACTAAATCGAAGCCAACATGGGAAAGGAAAAGACCCACATTAATATCGTCGTCATCAGACACGTGGACTCCGGCAAGTCCACCACCACCGGCCATCTGATCTACAAATGCGGTGGCATCGACAAAAGGACCATTGAAAAATTTGAGAAGGAGGCTGCTGAGATGGGGAAGGGTTCGTTCAAGTATGCCTGGGTGTTGGACAAGCTGAAAGCCGAGCGTGAGCGTGGTATCACCACTGACATCTCCCTGTGGAAATTCGAGACCAGCAAGTATTACGTGACCATCATCGATGCCCCTGGACACAGAGACTTCATCAAAAACATGATTACAGGCACATCGCAGGCTGACTGTGCTGTCCTGATTGTTGCTGCTGGCGTTGGTGAATTCGAAGCTTGTTTCTCCAAAAACGGGCAGACCTGTGAGCATGCCCTTCTGGCTTACACACTGGGTGTGAAACAACTAATTGTTGGAGTTAACAAAATGGATTCCACAGAGCCACCCTACAGCCAGAAGAGATACGAGGAAATTGTTAAGGAACTCAGCACCTACATTAAGAAAATCGGCTACAACCCTGACACCGTAGCTTTTGTGCCAATTTCTGGTTGGAATGGTGACAATATGCTGGAGCCAAGTGCTAACATGCCTTGGTTCAAAGGATGGAAGGTCACTCGCAAGGATGGCAATGCCAGCGGAACCACACTGCTTGAAGCTTTGGATTGCATCCTCCCACCCACTCGCCCCACTGACAAGCCTTTGCGGCTGCCCCTCCAGGATGTCTACAAAATTGGTGGTATTGGCACTGTCCCAGTGGGCCGAGTGGAGACTGGTGTTCTCAAACCTGGCATGGTGGTCACCTTTGCTCCAGTCAATGTCACAACTGAAGTCAAGTCTGTTGAAATGCACCATGAAGCTTTGAGTGAAGCTCTTCCTGGGGACAATGTGGGCTTCAACATCAAGAACGTGTCCGTCAAGGATGTCCGGCGTGGCAATGTGGCTGGTGACAGCAAAAACGACCCACCAATGGAAGCAGCTGGTTTCACCGCTCAGGTGATCATCCTGAACCATCCTGGCCAGATCAGTGCTGGCTATGCCCCTGTCCTGGATTGTCACACAGCTCACATTGCTTGCAAGTTTGCTGAGCTGAAAGAAAAGATTGATCACCCGTCTGGTAAGAAGCTGGAAGATGGGCCCAAGTTTCTGAAATCTGGTGATGCTGCCATTGTTGACATGGTTCCAGGCAAGCCCATGTGTGTCGAGAGCTTCTCTCATTATCCACCTCTGGGTCGTTTCGCTGTTCGTGATATGAGACAGACAGTTGCTGTGGGTGTCATCAAAGCTGTGGACAAGAAGGCTGCTGGAGCCGGCAAGGTCACCAAGTCTGCCCAGAAAGCTCAGAAGGCTAAATGAATATTATCCCTGACACCTGCCACCCCAGTCCTAATCAGTGGCGGAAGACCGGTCTCAGAACTGTTTCTCCCAATTGGCCATTTAAGTTTAATAGTGAAAGACTGGTCAATGATAACAATGCATCGTAAAACCTTCAGAAGGAAAGGAGAATGTTTTGTGGACCATTTTTTTGTGTGTGTGGCAGTTTTTAAGTTATTAGTTTTTAAAATCAATACTTTTTAATGGAAACAACTTGACCAAAAATCTGTCACAGAATTTTGAGACCTATTAAAACAAAGTTTAATGAGAAAAAAAAAAAAAAAAAGACTTACAGTAAAATAAATCAGACTCGTGTAAACATCGTACTACCCTAGAGTGAGAAACTGAAAATAAGTTCCAAAATGTACAGTAAATATTATGAAAGAGAAGAAATTGTTTAAAATGAACTAAGATGAGGGAGAGGAGAAAGAAAAAGAGAAAAAATGCAACTTACACCATTAGTGTCTCAGTTCATAGAAAAGGAAGATTTGTACCAATATCAATTGGAGAAATTTTTATGCTTGTATTTTATAAAGCTACTTTAAAGATAATAGTAACCTGTTATTCTTCTATATCATGAAATTTTGTTTTACCTATTTTCCATTAAAAAAGAATCAGGGCCAGTGAGATAGCTCATTGGGCTAAGTGCCTGTTTAGGCAAGCGCAGGGAGAAGGGCTCGATCCCCAGCACCACATGCTGCACCAGCCCCACCTCCAGGTGTGCTGAGCTGGCCCCTGAGACCAGGCATGGTGACACACGCCTGTAATCCCAGCACTGGGGAGGCTGCGACAGGAGGATCCCTATGAGTCAGAGCTGCATAATGAGACCCTGTACCAAATATATTTAAAAAAAAAAATCAAGAGTCAGACTATTTGTGTATATTTTATTTTATAACAATCTGTAGTTACAGAGTACCGTGCTATAGGTTCTTCTGGTTTGCCGTGTCCTTGGCTGATGTAAAAATGGCCACCAGTTTCCTAGTGCGTGAGATGGTCTGGTTTGACAAGTTCAAGTGTGATGTTGCAGAAAGGAAATTCTTCGAGCAGATGAATGGGCCTGAGGCTGGTGCCATCTGGCAGAGCTCCAGTCCTGGGGTCTCTGGTGGGCCTGGTGACCCACTGGAGCCCCCTGGTCCATAGTGAGCATGTTGTCTGATTGCCAGCCTGAAAGTGGAGAACCAGAACCTGAGAAGCGTGGTGCAGGATCTGCAGCAGGCTCTCTCTAGACTGGAGGCCTGGTAAACACCCTCAGGAAGAGCTCACCCACCCATCCAGCCCCAACCGCAGCACGTGGCTCCCGTTCGCCAAGTGGAGCCCCCAGCCAAGAAGGTAGCCACCCCAGCAAAGGACGACGAGGACAGTGACATTGCCCGATTTGACAGTGATGAGGAGGACGAGGCAGCCCGGCTGTGGGAGGAGAGGCTAAGGCAGTATGCAGAAAAGAAATCCAAGAAGGCTTCACTGGTGGCCAAGTCCTCCATCCTCCTGAAAGTCAAACCTTGGGATGATGAGACTGGCGTGGCCAAGCTGGAGGCCTGTGTGCGCTCCATCCAGTGGATGGGCTGCTCTGGGGTGGCTCCAAGCTGGCCTTGTGGGTTCCAGCATCCACAAGCTGCAGATCCAGTGTGTGGTGGAAGACGACAAGGTGGGCACCAACTTGCTGGAAGAGGAGGTCACCAAGTGTGAGGAGCAGGAGCGAAGTGTGGACGTCGTAGCTTTCAACCAGATCTGAAGCCGAGGGGGCATGTGTGCAAGGGAGACCCTGCCAAGACAGAATTAAATCAAGCCAATAACAGATCAGTCCTTTATAAAGTAAGCCTTCTAGCTGAGTATGGTGGTGCATCCCTGTAATCCCAGCTGCTCGGGGAACCTAGGCAGGATTATTGCCACTTTGAAGTCAATCTTTCACACTTGGCCCTGAGCCCTGTAATAAAAAGACTAAAAGGGCAGGAATGTGGCTTACTAGTTGAGCACTTGGGTGGCATGTGCCATGTGGGACTCTGGCCCCACTACCAGAAATAAAAGCCTTTCCCTGTGTTAGGTGTGAACTGTGTAGACTAAGGGCTCTTTCGTGTTTTTCAGCTGGCTGCTGAGGTGCACAGTGTGCACTCAGTACAAGGGGCGGAGCCCGTGGTGCTGTTCAGGGGCGGCGCTGCCCGCAGCCTGGAGGCCTTGCTCGCAGAGCCCCAGCAGAAGGTCGAGACTGTTCTCTCCGACGGAGAAGTGATTAAGTAAGTTTCAGTATTTGGGAGATGGGGCTGGCAAAATAGCTTGGCAGTCTAAAGCGACTGCTTAAGCAGGCACGGGACGACCGAGGTTCTGTCTCCCAGTACCACATGCTACACCAGCGCTGCCCACAGGGCCAACTGAGCCGGCAAAAACAAAAGAATATTTGAGAGAGAATTTTTATTTATTTTTTATTTTGGCGGAACCAGGGATTGAACTCAGGCCCTTGTGCTTGCCAGGCAAGAGCTTATTCTACTGAGCTATCTCCCTGGCCCCCTGGGAGAGAATTTTTACCAAATTGGAAATGTGCTGGGTATTTGTTGCGTGCTTTATTGTGTTCACAAGTAGAAGCATAGTTACAGGAACCAGGGCTGGGTGTGCAGCCAGCGGTGGAGCGCTGCCCGGCGCCTCCTTGGCAGACACCGAGAGCCCTAGCACACCACCCAGGAGGCCCTGTCAGAAGGCGTTCCCCAAGGACGCTGGGGTGCCAAGTGCGTGGGGAAACCGTGGGCACACAAGTCCTGTTCCGTAACAGAGTGCTGAGATGATTTATTTTAAGCTGAAATGGATAATTCCAGACTCCCAAATCCTTTTCTTTCTGTTGTATTGCTCCAACTGTCAAGTCATAACCTTTTTCTCTAGAGAAAAGTACAGCTTGCTGTTAGTGAAATCATAATCGTGCTGTGAGGCCTTCATTCGTCCAGACCTGGGGTATAGAGAGCCCTTTCTGTCCTCATCTCAGTCCAAGAAGTTTATATTTGGAATCCCAAGGATAAGTTAATGGAGTCCCATCAAGCTAATTCCAATCTACCGCTTCCAGGGCAACCCGTAGTGAGAACAGAGACACTAAGGCATATTCATAGTGATGGGGAGTTAAGGAGTCCTAAGTCCAGCCATGAAGATGGCTATCTGGAACAGAGGCTCCTACTCACAACCAAACCCAGCTTTTACTCATTTGTGAAGAAGGAAGTGGCTTGAGGATGAGCGACTGAGAGTGGTGGGAAGTCGTGGGGGACACGAGCTGGGCTAGGCAGGGGGCCTGCATTCACCTCTGCACTATGTAGAGAGAGGAAGACATGCAGAAAGAGTAACCTGCAGTACATAACTGAGGTAGAGTCTAATGTTTTGGGGTCAGGCTTCAGCTCTGATGTGTAATCTTTTAAGCTCCAGGTCATAGCCTCTGTCTGGAGGCTGGATCCCACAGGGAGCGTTGGCTCTTTGTCCCCTCTTGATTAAAGAGCAGCAGATGGCGGCTATCCCGGAAACGTGTGCCATCTTCAAAAACTACCACCGCCTCGGCTAGACCACTACGCACTGCTTAAAGCCAACTGAAAGGATGAAAAATCCTAGCCAACTCTGTACATATCAATGTAAGGAAATAGGGTCAGACACCGCCAAAATGGAGACAGTGGCTCTGTCCAGGAGAACTGCTCCGGTGGGCCTCTACACTAGAGTAGACATAATGCTCCCCAGGTGATGGAAGGGCGTGTCACGGGCCGCATTGCCCCAACCCTCATTTCATCACATGTTGACAGCTGCATGCCAGACTGACCTGCCGTGTGCTCCGGGGTGTCTGCAGCTTGTGCTTAGCGTCATGCCGCCGCACAGGCTGTCTGTGCTGCCTTGGTTAGGAGGCCGTAAGCCCGCTGAGGCTCTGTTGCCTGCGTAGGCAGATGAGAGCCTACCATTGCCCTGGAGCCGTGGTCCCAGGAGTAACTGAGAGAGAGGGCCGGGTGCATTTAGGCCGGGCTGCTCCGTGTGCAGGGCACTCCTGCTCTCGGACTTCAGTAGTCCTGTGTTTAATCCGGAGATACCGCTGACAGATAGGCATTTGCGACTGCACACGGTGTATGCTCTCTGCTGTCTTTCTGGCCCAAAAAATATTAGCATTTTCTTAAATTTTGCTTCATTTTTTTCTAATCTGATTTTTTTATTTTGAACTTTATTTTTAGGTGGTCCAAGTTTTTTGTGGTATTTAGGCATCCTGTCTTAGTTTTTATTACTGAAAAGGTAAGTAATATCTTTATTTTTTATTTTTTTTTTAAATTTTATTTATTTATTTGTGTGTATGTGTGTGTGTGTGTGGCCAGCTCAGTCCACCAGGGGGTAGGGCTGGCTGGCATGTGGTGCTGGGGGGATTGAACTGCGGTCCCTGTGATTTGCTAAGCTTGTTCTAAGTAGGTGCTCTAGACCACCGAGCCATCTCACCAGCCCGTAATATCTTTATTTTCTGGCCCATTTTGTGAAAATTTAAAATTGCCTATATTATTTTTAGGACTAAAATGGAACTTCAGTATTTGAGAAGATTCTTAAATTTTAAAAATACTTTTTGTTTTTAAATGCTTTATTTATTTATTTATTTTGTGTGTGTGTGTGTGTGTGTGTGTGTGTGGCCAGCTCAGCCCACCAGGGGGCGGGGCTGGCTGGCATGTGGTGCTGGGGGTTGAACCGCGGTCCCTGTGCTTTGCTAAGCTTGTTCTAAGTAGGTGCTTTAGACCACTGAGCCATCTCACCAGCCCCTAAAAATACTTTTTGAACAGTAAAGTATATTAGTCAGAATTACTTCAATGCCTAAATGGATTTTTTTTTTAATCAAGGAGGTCAACCTCAGGACCTAGTGCTTGCAGGCAGCACTCATGCCACTGAGCTGGCTCCTCACTGGTTTTTGTCTGAGTCAGGTTCTTGCTGTGCAGTTCAGGCTGGTCTTGTACTCACAGTGATCTTTCTGCCTCAGTCTCCAAGTGCTGGGACTGCAGACGTGCCACCGCACCAGGCACTCTGAGTACTTTTATTTATAATATTTTAAATCTAATTTGGACAAGAACGTAAGTATTCATTGAAGTACTTAAGTGGAGTGGCAACTTCTAGTTTTAACATTAAATGTAGTTAGCTAAAATGACAATGTTTATAAAATAATATTACCTTTTATTGCAGGATGGGAATCACTGTGCTTATGTACAAATGTTCCACACACGAAACTTAAGCAAGTATACTCTGTGGCCTGGACAAGAAGGAAAATCTGTTACACTGAGTTTTACTGCTTATGTGGATCGGAAGTTTATCTCTTTAATGTCATTAAGTAAGTTTTCTTAAAACTTTGAACAGTTTTTAGTGAGAGGATACTGTGGGCTAGTGTAGCTCTGAGTCTTGCCGGCTTTCATTACAGTCTTAGCTTTTCCTGCTTCCTGATGAGGGTTTGAGCCTTCACCTTCCACGCGTCACCACAGCTGGTCGTGTGTTTGGGTCAGTGGTGCTGCGTTCTAAGGGAGTATTTGTGTGTGAGTTCTGCTCAAGCAGTTTTCAGACATCATTTCTATAACTCCCATGTCTTAACATTTGCCCTAAGTGTAAATAATATAATAAAGGAAAGCTTTTTATCCTTATGACAAGGCCGTGTTCTTCGATAGAGTAACTGATGGACCTTAAAATCCCTGTTTGGCAAGACTCAGTGTGTCTCTCCTTGAATAGAGAGAGAGAGATGAACAAAGACAGTAATAGAGCAGGGTCAGCCAAGCCATGTGCTGCTTTATTTTTTATTTTTTTGAGAAAGGGTCTCCCTGTGTGGTATAGACTGGCCTTGAACTCACTGTGTAGCCCAGACTGGTCCAAAGTGGCATTCCTCCTGCCTCAGCCTCCTGAGTGCTGGGATTATAGGCATGACAGCATGTCTGCTTTGCCACTTACTTTCTTTAGAAACAGAGTTTAAATTTTTTTATGATGTCTTGAATCTACTACATGATGCTATAAATAACGCCAGACTTATGTTTCTAGGAGGAAAAAAAAAAAAAAAGAAGCTAGCCTTAGTAGTGTCCTCCCCTCTAGCGCTTCATGGCTGTGAAGTCATTTTGAAGAAATTATGGAGGAGAGAATAAAAATACTTAAGAAATGCTGGATATGGTAGCAACATGCCTGTAAGCCCACAATTTAAGAGGCTAAGGCAGGGAGATTGCCACAAGTTCCAGGCCTGCCTGGGCTACATAGTCAGTTCAAGGCCAGCCTGAACTGCAAAGTAAAACTCTGTCTCAAAACAAAAAAAAACAGGGCTGACCAAATAGCTTAGCGGATTAAAGCACCTGCAAGCAGGCGCAGGGGCCAGGGGTTCAATCCCTGGGCCTGCCGTGCTGGCCGGCTCCTGGGGCGTGCTGAGAGGGCAGTTGAGACTGGGTGTGGTGGCGTGCGCCTGTAATCCTAGGTCTTGGGAGGCTGTAAACAGGCAAATCACTGTGAGTCCGGTCTAGTAGTGAGACCCTGAACACCCTGTAGACCCTTCCCTAAAAAGTACAAA